CACTGAGCCATCTCACCAGTCCCTATATCCTTTAATCTTTAACACAGCAATTAACATAGCATTTTGTCTGATTATTGCCTACCTTTCCCAACAGACTTTTTTCTTTTTTGGTAATGGCGATCAAACTCACCACCCTCCACTTGCCAGGCAAGTGCTTAGGCCACTGAATAATCTCTCTGGCCTCAGACTTTTTTTTTTTTTTGTAGCCTGAAGGCAGGGCTGGTGCGGCTGGGGATCTAACCTCAGTCCCTATGTTTTAGTCCCCCTAGCTATTTCACAGGCTCTGGACTGACTTTCTTAAAGGTTTATTCACACCACTGCACTAATAATACATTTAAAAAGCAGTTTAAGTGAATCTGTAAGATGATGTGCTTTTTTACCAGTTTAAACTCTGCATAATTCTGGCTTCTGCAGTTATTATATTGAGGATAGTCAGAGAATAGTATGGTTTTAAGAATGGAAGGGGCAGGCGGCATACTAGCGTGGCAGTCTCTGCACCGGGCTCTGGAGCGCGAGGTCACCAGTTTGTGCCCCCGTCCCGACTCTTGGGCCAGGGAGATGGCTCACTGGAATAAGCGCTTCCCTGGCAAGCGCAAAGTCCTGAGTTCAATCTCCCGTTTTTCCAAAAAAAAAAAGAAAAAAGAAAAAACGCAGGGGGGAAAGGAAAGAAAGAACAAGAAAAGAAAAAGTGAATAGGAGGAGAGGGGAATGGGGAAAAAAAAAAGCAATGGGGCTGGGAGATGGCTCAGTGGAATAAGCACTTCCCTGGCAAGCACAAGGGCCTGAGTTCAACCTCTGGTTCCGCCAGAAAAAAAAAAAGAAAAAAAAAGCAGCAGCGAGATGTATCATGTAGGGGCTGGGGAGATGGCTCAGTAGAATAAGTGCTTGCATGACAAGCGCAAGGGCTTGAGTTCAATCCCTGGTTCCGCAAAAAAAAAAAAAAAAAAAAAAAGATGTATCACGTACAGGTACAAATCCCCTATGATGAATATTAACATGTATCTCTGAAACATACTGATAAGTACTGCAAAAAAATTAAATGAACAGTTGCAAAAAATAGTAATTTCTGGGGCCGGGGAGATGGCTCAGTGGAATAAGCGCTTCCCTGGCAAGCGCAAGAGCCTGAGTTCAATTCCCGGTTCCACAAAAAAAAAAAAAAAAAAGTAATTTCTTTCATTCTTTTTAATTAATATATCTGGTACAGGGTCTCACTAAGCAGCTTAGGCTCCTAGTGATCCTCCTGTTCTCAGCCTCCTCAGTGTGCTGGGATTACAGACAATGTCCCACCACACCCAGTCTTGGTGGCCAGCTCAGTGGGCCTGGCGCAGCATGTGGTACTGGCGATCGAACCCTGTCCCTGTGCTTGCCTAAGTAGGTGCTTAGTCTGCTGAGCTATCTGGCTGGCCCTAGCAATTTCTTTTTTTTTTTTTTAAGGAAAATTTTATTTTATTTTATTTTTTACATTTATTTATTGTGTGTGTGTGTGTGTGTGTGTGTGTGTGTGTGTGTGTGGCCAGCTCAGCCCACCAGGGGGCGGGGCTGGCTGGCATGTGGCGCTGGGGGATTGAACCGCGGTCCCTGTGCTTTGCTAAGCTTGTTCTAAGTAGGTGCTTTAGACCACTGAGCCATCTCTCCAGCCCGGCCCTAGCAATTTCAATGTATGTAAACAATATATGTAATAAACATGAGCTTATATTATCAAGAATGAAAATGGGAAAGGGGATATAAAGAGGGTGCAGTAGGGAGGGGAATTTAAAAAAAGACGCTAAGTGCATTATGTACCTACTCCCCAAGATAAATGTAAACTTTATGCATGTACTGTATAAACATGTACCAAAAAATAGGCTAGGCCTTGAGCAGCCCCCCCAAGTAAGTTATCACAGATGAGAAATCACAAGATGTGTTCCAGGTGAAAGTGTATCTGTAAAAAGTTTTACTTTCTGTGCAGTTTTTAATACAAACATCTAAAGTCTTAGGTAAGTAATGGTTGGTCCTATAGGAACAAAGTATGGCACGAATTCCAGAAATAAAAACACACACATGTATTTTTTTGCATTTAGGCTTTTTAAGTCACTATGCAATGATTATCGGTACGCCAAGGACAGTAACAGTCAGATGCCAGAGAAAAGGAGATATGAGAAACATCTTTTATTTCTTCTAAAGAGGTGAAAATAAGTAAGACTTTTTTTTTATATTTCTTACTTGTAAGATTTTTAAACTCTTAAAAATGCAATCTCCTCTTTTCAAAGCACATGCCATCTTTAAAAAAATCTTAGCAATATACATTTGCACTCAAAGAAAAACATGCAGCGCTATTGTCTTCTGACAAAATTCTGCATTAGAACCCACATGACTTTCGGCAAATATTCCCTTTATTTAGGGATTCCAACCACATTCAGTGCAATTATTTACGTTACTTATTTCCGTAGGAAACACAGGACCAAATGGTGTTGTCTGACTACAACCGTCTCCTGTTGGCTGACAACAGTCTCCCCCGGCCTTACTGGAGATTACTCTCGGTAGCCTGCTGATGTAAGGTACAGCTGGAGTTCAGAAAAACTCGGGGATGCAAGTAGAGGATGGGGGAGAAACACTTAAGGACTACCCTGTGCCATAACTGAGGAAAAAATTTACACAGAAAAACAAAACAAAACCAAAAAAAACCTCAGATTTTTTTTTCAACGCACCCTTTAAAAGTGTATTTTTAGATTTCTGAAAGCAGCTTAATGTGAATCAAAAGCAGTTCCTGAGTAACTGCAGTAAACAGTCTTTAAATACATATATATGTACACATATACATGTACACACATATACATATATATTTGCAACTCAGCTCATTTTGGTTCTGCCTTAATTTACCTCCCCAGAGTTTAGCTGCAGCACGGTCCCTTCCTTCCCGTCAGTTCTCAATGTGCAATACAACAGCATCAGCTCTGGGAGTTGCTGTGGTGCAGATGTTTCTTGTTACTCATTGGTGGTCATCTGCATGTCAGGCCAGGTTTCCAGAGTCCCTGCAGGTCACGGTTTTTGCAATCTCACAAAACCTGTGAGTGCCACGGACACCTCACGTCTTTTTCATCATGCGCCGTGACTGCCACGAGTGGAGCTTGTTGTAGGCCGTCTGCAGCATTTCTTCTATATGACTTACCAACTGAAAGGCATGGCAAGACACAAGATTAGGCACCGGCACCTAACCCCGTCTGGCCCCCACTCCGAGCACACTGTGGCAGTTCCTGGGCGTCCTAGCCACGAAGGCAGTGCGCAAGCCCTCTGTGAAGGTCTTACTAGACTCATTTCACACGGACAAGGGAGTGAGTGGATGCAGGGGGTGGAAATGCACCTGTTCCGTCTGGGCTGTCAAGTCTATGCTACCAGGACAACATGAAAATTTTAACTAGCATAGGCCCCAGTCTCTTCTGTCAACTGAAGGATTCACATTAAGGTGCTGACTGATCTGCCAACCAAAGCCAGGATGGTGTGATGTATTATCTTTATAGAACATCTGGAAAAACACTGCTTTCTCTTGATTCTGACTCATCCAGGTGGGATGCAACTCTGGAATTCTCTCCTGGCAGTGTGTGGGATTAAATTCAGGGTCCTATGCACAGTGAACATGCATTCTACTGCTGGGCTACATCTTTTATTTATTTTTTTTGCGGAACTGGGGATTGGACTCAGGCCGCTGTGCTTGCCAGGCAAGTGCTTATTCCACTGAGCCATCTCCCTGGTCCCCGGAGCTACATCTTAAATCATCAGGAACCTTTGCTTTTTTTTTTTTTTTGGCAGAATCGGGGATTGAACTCAGGCCCTTGCACTTGCCAAGGAAGCACTTAGCCTACTGAGCAATCTCCCCGGTCCTCTTTGCTTTTCACAAGCTCCATCACAGTTTTATAAAGTACTTTCTCGTTTTTATGCATATCTTTTTGAGACAGGGTTTCACTGTGCAGTTCAGGCTGCCCTTAAACTCACAGCAATTCTCCTGCCTCAGCTTCTTAAGTGCTAGAATTATAGGTATACACTACCACACCCAGCAACTTACCTGCTTTTTCATAGGTTATCTATTAGTGGACTCTGCATTCCAGTCACTCTGTGACTGGACAGACTCAAGGCAATTTCTTATGAACTTTTTACTTGGGGGGGGGGCAGTACCAAAAATTGAACTCAACCCTGAGCTTGCCAGGCAGGCGCTGTGCCCCTGAACTATCTCCCCATTCTGTTTTTAAAGGTGTTTTGCAGCATTTCAGGGTTAAGATTATAGAAAACCTACATGAGTTCAAGGTTTTATTTTTTTTTTTAAATTTTATTTATTTATTTGAGAGAGAGAGAGAGAGAGAGAGAGGCCAGCTCAGCCCACCAGGGGGCGGGCTGGCTGGCATGTGGTGCTGGGGGATTGAACCGCGGTCCCTGATGCTTTTGCCACGCTTGTTCTAAGTAGGTGCTTTAGACCACTGAGCCATCTCTCCAGCCCGAGTTCAAGGTTTTATAAATTGTGTGGCAGCACACCTTAGGCTAGGACTACAGATACATGAAGGGAGAAGAACTTTGCCTTCATCATGGATGGACAAAACCACAATGACTTTTTATCTGATAGGGTTTTACGTGAACTCACTCTGTAGCCCAGGCTGGCCTCAAACTCACAGCCTCAGCCTCGAGTTCTAGGATTACAGGCATGCACCACTACAATCAGTTTATTATTATCACTATTGTTGAAGTAGGGTCTCACTATACAGTTGAGCTGGCCTTTAACTTGCAGCAATCTGCCTGCCTCAGTCTCCTCTAGTGCTGGGATTACTGGTGTGTACCACCATACCTGGCATAGACTGCCAATTATTTTTATTGTGTTTTTGCCATACCAGAGACTGAATTCAGGTTGTTGACACTGAGTTACAATTCCAATCCTTTCTTCTTTTTTTCAGTGAAACCGGGGATTGAACTCAGGCCCTTGTGCTTGCCAGGCAAGCACTTATTCTGCTGAGCTATCTTCCTGGCCCCTAATCCCTTCTTCTTGAGACAGGATCTCACGAAGTTGCTGACTGCTCAGGCTGGGCTTGAACTTGCTACCACCTGCCTCAGACTCCCAGAGTGGTAGGATTTTGGCTGGAGGACCAAGCAGATGAACACCCTACCCTCCTGTAAGCCTGTGCACAACCTCAGAATCTTTCCAACACACCACTCTAGACAGAATCAACTGAGAAGACACAAGACTTAAAAATATCTGCCTTTCCTTGCACTGCTAGGATTGTGTGCTATTTTTCCAAATTAATAATACAGATTTTTAGCTCTATATGCATAGATTATAAACTATAAAGAAAAACATGGGGATAACTGCTACAAATACCGGGGTAATCATGACCTAAGAGGTAGTGGTATACAACTAAGCAGGACACTCACAACACCTCAGTGATTAACCAGTAATAATGAGCAGCAGAGGGGTACAAAGGGTCTACTCATTCATATGAAAGCAAAAATCCATCTCACATTTTACGGTCAGAAAAAAAAAAGGAAAGGAAAGGAAATGAGATTAAAATCAGATTGTTGGGCTGGTGAGATGGCTCAGTGGTCTAAAGCACCCACTTAGAACAAGCTAAGCTAAGCAAAGCACAGGGACCAAGGTTCAATCCCCCAGCACCACATGCCACCCAGCCCCGCCCCCTGGTGGGCTGAGCTGGCCACACACACACAAAATTTAAAAAATTAAAAAAAAAAAATAAAACAAATCAGATTGTTGTCTTACATTTGTGCTTAAATACTGTCTCCGGATTTTTTCTTGGAATGGACAAAGCTTTGTGACTTGGAATCGTTCCAAATTACTTTTCATTTTTACTACCTAAAAAAGATGAGAAATAAGGAATTACAGAGAGATATCAAAGAGCCTATGGAGACCAAGAGATAAATAGGTAGTATTTATTTCTCTATGTGAAGTTCACTTTTTTTTTTTTTTGTGGAACCGGGGATTGAACTCAGGCCCTTGCACTTGCCACAGAAGTGCTTATTCCACTGAGCCATCTCCCCAGTCCCATGAAGTTCACTTTTGCTACAGAAATATTTTAAAAACATATAAAATAAAAACAACTAATATATCCTATACTCAGAGAGCATCTTTTTTTTTTTGGGCGGAATCGGGGATTGAATTCAGGTCCTTATTTACTGAGCTTTCTGGCCCTCATCTTTTTTTTTTTTTTTAGAACAGGGTCTCAGTAAGAAGTCCAGACTGGCCTTGTAACTGCCTATGTATTTCAGGCTGGCCTCAAATTCAATGCAATCTTCCTGCCTCAGCCTGAGTGGTTGACCTGAGTGGTTGGACAAACCATGTGTAGCAGCAGAGGAACATTTCTATGGCTAAACATTTATTTTTATTTATTTATTTATTTTTTGGGGCAGAACTGGGGATTGAAGCGCTTATTCCACCGAGCCATTTCCCTGGGCCCCATTTATTTTTATTTTTTAAATTTTTTT